GCAATCAGAATGAACAATTCTAGTGTGGAAAGCATATAGCTCATTTTTCTATGGATTTTAACCAGTTAATCCTAGCAGTATTTATGGACTAGTTGGCAAGAGCAAGAGCTTTGGATTTGACTAGGATTGACTTCCAGCACTGCCATCTCCCAGCTGAATGACAGCTGAGATCTCAGTTCCCCATATGGACACCAGATATAATAACACCCACCTCATAAAGATGTTGTTGTGAGGAAGGAGATGATGGATAATTAATAGCAGTTTTCTTTTCTATCTCTTTCTTGCCTGCTTAAACTTGATTACAAAGACTAATTTATTACAATTTTTATAAAGATGATGACTAGCATTTATGGTTTTATTATGGAGGTTAACCAATCATTCATTGTAAATATGACTCAGAAATTGGAAAGTCCCTTTCATGAAGTTTTTTCGTTGTGAGAAATGAAAGATTTCTATGTTTGCTATGATTTCAAAAGCGCTTGGTCTACTCCAGTTAAATAGCTTCTTCTGCTAAACGTATTCATTCTCTTCAGATTATTATATGCTTCATAGTATATATTTTCTCTTTAAATGTGTTTCTCAGAAGCAAAGTTCAATGGGATATCCTGCAAAAAAGAAAAACTAAGAGTTCAATGACTAAATAAGTTTGGGAAATGCTGCATATCATATTCCTTTTCTGGCATCTCACAGTTACATTAGCAAAACTAAAGACACTGAGATCCATGACTTTTTTTTTTTTTTTTTAGCAATTCTAGTAATGACCTGAGGAAAGAGTATTCACAGGACATTTTTGAAAATGTAGTCATTAATAATATAGAAAGCATTTTTATTGCCAAAACTCTTACTGAATGCTGCTGTACAAACATCATGGTGAAAACTTGGGTCTGAATCCTTCATTCCCAAAAGTCATGCTGGCTGTGGTCCAGCTCTGCAGAACTGCAGGTTAGGATAGAGGGAGTCTTCAGCAAGGCTGCCATTCAGTGGAGCCTGGGTGACCTCCAGGTTCTGTAATCCGTGTTACTTCCTCTAGTCTCTCCCCAGATAGTTTTATTCTTTCCCATGGTTTTTGTCTCCATCTCTATTCTAATCCACAGCTCTAGCTGAGATTTCTTTTCTAAGGTTCAACTCGAATATGCATTTTGATAATCTAGACATACCCCAAATTCTCCATGTCTCATACTGAATAAATATCGGCTTTGCGCTTCTTCCTCTCACCCAATCTCACTCTGGTTTCCTATTTGCATTTTGACTGCTCTTCACTTATCCTTGAGATCAGGAATCTGGAATCTCCCTTCCTCCATTGCTTCCTTGTATTTCATTTCCATCATCCTCCATGTTTCCAGTAATTTTATTATGACATAATAAAATTAGACTCTCCCTATTTTTCTTTCTGTCAATGTCTAAGTTCAGGTTCTCAGATTTATTGCTTAAAGGGTACAAAAGTATCCTCTTCATCTTCCTCTAACTTACCTTCCTAAGTCCAGCTTCCTACTAGCCATAGTGAGCTGTTTTCTTTTTTTTTTTTTCTTGCAGTACTAGTGGTTGAACCCAGGGGTAATTCTTCACTGAACTAATTCCCTATCCTTATTAATTTTTATTTTTGAAACAGGGCCTCTCTAAGTTGCCCAGCCTGACCTCAAACTTCTGATCTTCTTGCCTCATTCTCTCCAGTAAGTGATATTAGAGGTGTGTGCCCCTGGCTAATAGTGACCTCTTTAAAATCAAAGTTGGTCATACTGATCCCTTACTTACATGGATTCCTGTTGCCTTCAGCTAGGTTGCAGAACTGCAGCTTGATGTGCAAAGCCTATCACATCACTTCTTGTAGCTATTTTTCGGTGACTTCGACACGCATTTCATATACAGCCATAATAACCTACTTGCAGGTCCCATAAGTGTACCATATACTCTTGTAGCTGTTCCTCTAGGTGAAATCATCTCCTTTCTTTTCTTTAAGACTCATTTTCAAGGTTTATCACAAGTTCCGTGTCTCTCTATGTTTCTCTGACTTGCTTAGGCTGTCTTGGATGGCCATGTTCTTATAGGAATCTATGCATCTCTATTACCTATTTCAAATGGACTTTCAGAATTCAAATTAAAATTTGCTTTAATAAAATATATAGGGCTGGGGATGTGACTCGGTGGTTGAGCGCCCCAAGTGCTGCTGGGTTCAATTGCTGGCACCTAAATAAATAAATAAATAAATATATTATCTCATTAGTTTTTTTCTTCAGCATCTATCTTTTGTAATTATAGTCAAGATAAAGGCCAATGATATATTACAATGCTTTATTTTCTGAGTTTTGTAGCATTGATGATTATGAGTAATCTAAAACCAATATTAATTTCACCTGACTTAAATATAGATAGTATGAATTTCCAATTCATCTTTTCCACATATTGCTGGTTTATTTCCCCCTCTTTTAGAGTCTGGTTGCATTTAAAGAATTTATAGCACACTGTTTACCATGCACTAAATGAAAGCTATCTGTCAGTATTTCTGATAGTAAGACTCTTATTTGGTTAAGTTTATAACTTTTTGTCTCCTGAAGGTTATAAGCAAATAATAGATCTTTCAGTTTCATCATTCACTTCATTCATTTCACTAAGGAAAAAATAAAAATTGTAGTAGTTACATATTAGGCACAAATATAAATAAGCCTATGCAGGGTTTATACTCTATTAAGATTGAACAATGTATATATTGCTTACAATTTTAAAAGAGAAGTCCTGTGTGGTGTAGCATGTTTTTAATCCCAGCAATTTGGGAAACTGAGGCAGGTGGACTGCAAGTCGAGATCAGCCTCAGCAACTTTGGGAGACTCTGTCTCAAAATTTAAAACAAACAAACAAACAAATAGATAGGACTGGGGAAGTAGTTCAGTGATTCAAACCAGTACAAAAAAAAAAAAAGATTAAATCTTTTAAAGTCTTTTAAAAAGTCTATAAGTCTTTTCAAGTCTTTTAAAAAGTATATCTGCATGATTTCATTTTTTGTTTTTTAATGGTACCAGGGATTGAACCACTGAGCCACATCCCCAGTCCTTTTTATTTTTTATTTTGAGACAGGGTCTCACTAAGTTGCTTAGGGCCTTGCTAAATTGCTGAGGATGAACTTGAATTTGGGATCCTCTTGCCTCAGCCTCCTGTTTGCTAGAATTATAGATGTGTGCCACCAAGCCAGGTTTACAGTGCATGATTCTTAAGCTGCAGTGCATTCTGCTTTAGCTAGTTCTTTTGTGTTAGAATTTCATTTAGTTTTTCATTTATTCAACATTTATTTATTTATTTTGTGATATCAGGAAGCAAACCCAGGGCCTTGTATCTTCTGGGAAAGTGCTCTAACACTAAGCTATATCTCTGGTTCAACACACTTCCTAAGTACTGTAGTGTGCTCAGAACTGTGCCAGACATAAGAGAAAACCATGACCAAAATCAGACCCACAGATCTTACAGACTAGTGGGGAAACGACCATAGTGGAAGCCTCAGATAAATAGACTTAAATTATAATTCTGAATGTTGTTACCAAGTATACTTAAAGTGTCCTGCTTGGGTTTATAGAAACAAAATTTAGTTTTGGGGGAAAACTGGGGAAACAGAGATTTGAAAGAATTGTGGGTGTAAAGTAATATGAGTTCATTTGGAGCCCAGTGCCTGTGGCTGTCATAGGCCACAGGGTAGGAGGAAGCCCACTATGCCTGTGGAACCAGGAAGACTGAGAGAAGGGAGCAGAGAAAGGAGTGGACAGGAAATCTGGAGAGTTTGATCAGGGAAGGAAAAGTCTGGCTCTTGTGGGTCTCCTTGAAGACTTAGGAGCAGTGAATTTATTCTAAGGGCCTCTGAAGTAGAGCAGGACTCAGATTGTGCTTGCACCTCAAAGTCTTCATCGAATCATATGGAAGTAAACTATTTCAATGACTTTCCCAAACCCTGGCAGGAGGGATAATAGTTGGATCTGGGATAGTAGCTGGCTGTAGAAATAGACATGAGTAGACTGAATTGAGAAAGTTTAGGAGGTATAGAGGTGGGGAAGGGAGGTGTCAGGCAGGCTTGCTTCTATTGTGCTTTCTTGAGTGAGTTTCGAACACCATTAAGAGCCAAGTTCAGGGCTCCATTTAATGAAGGCTTGGGCTGTTGAATTTGAGTAATTTACATATTTACGCTATACAAAGCATAAATAAGATAGGAGTTTTAAAAATATGAAACATGAATCCTGTTTGTGAGATTATAATATCATTGGAAAAATAAGGCACAAAGACAGGATATATTTAAATGACATATACATATAGACCTTAATTTCTTAAGTACTATTTAAGGTCCATAATGCAGCTCCTTTACTAGTATTCTTTTCCATTAATATTGTATTTATTCATTTGAAGTCAATTATTTAATATTCAAATATTAATATAATAATTATTATATTAATTTATCAAAGCTGTGGGGAATATAATTATGTGTGTGTGTGTATATATCTATATATATACACACACAGATTTTATTATTTAGGAAGAGATAAGAATCTATATGAAAAAATTTTATTGTATTTGAATATAAATTTTCATTTGTGTACAGCATGTTTTGTTAGAGTCTTAATTGATGATAGTTAAAAGGAGATGCCAGGAAGCCATGGTATTATTTGTAATACTCAGGAAGCTGTTTAGCAGTTCCCTGACAGGTTTCTCTTCAAAAGCAGGCACTGTGCACGGTATAAACAATGTAATGGGCTCTGAGATGATTCATGGTCAGGGATTTGAACAGCAGACAGGATTTGTACAAGTGGAGTGTAAGCAAGAGAACTTTCTAAGTGGAGGGTCAAAAGAATTCAGGATTTGGAAGGTGCAGTCAAAGTGGATGCCAGAAGGATTAGTTAGCAGATAGGATAGGAAGGGTAGGTCAACATTAGGTAGTGTTTAAATAACAGTGTTAAAAACTTTTGATATAAGGCTTTTAACTGTTTTTGAGTGAAACAGGAAGATATTTTGTCAATTCTTTTTTGCAGGCTCCCGTCTTCGACAGGAAGATTTTCCACCTCGCATTGTTGAACACCCTTCTGACCTAATTGTCTCAAAAGGAGAACCTGCAACTCTGAACTGTAAAGCTGAAGGCCGCCCCACACCCACTATTGAATGGTACAAAGGCGGGGAGAGAGTGGAAACAGACAAAGATGACCCTCGCTCACACCGAATGTTGCTGCCAAGTGGATCTTTATTTTTCTTACGTATAGTACATGGACGAAAAAGTAGGCCTGATGAAGGGGTCTACGTGTGTGTGGCAAGGAATTACCTTGGAGAGGCTGTGAGCCACAATGCATCGCTGGAGGTGGCTAGTAAGTAAAATGGGCTTTCTGTGTTTGGCAGGGGGAGTGGCCAAGTAATGATGATGGCAATGAAAAATAGAGCATGTGCAATAAATAGGCTTTACTTGAGGACCCTCTGTACTTTTATATCTGGATGAAACCTAGTTTTCAAATTGTCTTTATTTCTTATCCTAGATAGTTATTCTAGCTAGACTGAGGTTTGTGCATGTAGTTGTTGAACCTTTTGACTTTCGATTTGGAACTCTTTTCTATTAACAATTTCACTGAATTTGTGTTATTCCCCTCCTTTGTTGCTTCTAAATATAGTGAATATCATAATGTGACTGCAAATAGAATAGTATAGGATTTTAAAAAGTTGTCTTCATTGGAAGAATTACTTTCAACTTGTAATATAAGGTATGGTTTTACACAATATCTAATTCTTGGAAGTATATTATACTTCTCTTAATGCTAAATCTAGAAAAGATTTATAGGCTTTATACTTGGCTTCTATAGTGAAGTGTCAAAAATGGTGCATGTAATCCTCTAGTAGGTTATGCTAGAATATGTTGACTAATGATTAAATTGTTTTTAGAGTCTAAATGTTCATTTTATTTTAATAAGATTTGGACTTCTGTTATTTTCTATCCATATTCAAGAGGTAGCCAAAACATTTCATTTCCTTGAAGAATCCTGGTGTACATCTATGACAAAAATTGAGAATTTCCAGGCTGGGGTTGTGGCTCACTGATAGAGTGCTTGCCTAGCATGCATGAGGCACTGGGTTTGATCCCTAGCACCACATAAAAATAAACAAATAAAATAAAGGTATTGTGTTCATCTACAACTAAAAAAAAATCTTTAAAAAAATTGAGAATTTCTGCATAAGGATTGGAGAGACAGATGAAATTAAGCTTAGTTCCCTTAACCACATATATAACTGTATTCACAACTATGCATATATTTCTATATGTTTTTCCAGATAAGTAATATTTTCATATGACTTATGTTTAACATTTTAATAATATAATCATTTTCATAGTCTCTAGCATTTTAATATAACTTGAATAAATAGAACCATAAATAATTATAAAATTGTAGACACAGAAAAGAATTTAGAGATAATTATTCCAGCTCAATTGTATTATTAATGTGGAATCAGCTCCAGAGTGCTTAAATGATTTGATCATCTTCACAAAGTTATGTAGTGCTTACATTGAGACAGAATGTCAAAAGTGTATGCTATGAACATAAAATATAATTAGAATAAAACAAAGTAACATTTTAAAGCATAGCAAAACTAATCATTCATATCTTTTCACTGTTTACTGGAAACCAGTATTTGCATTTCACTGTCTTATTGTATTGCCTTGACTCTCCCTGAAGTCTTAGAATGAACTCAGCAAGGTGTATGAACACTATCATCACAACAAAAAGATATTTTGCTTTTATTTTTATTTTTGTGAAGCCCAACTTTAAATGTAGGTTTTCAAACAAAAGAAGTATAAGTGTTCAACTTATTTTTAAATAATATCTGTTTGATTCATCTTTCAATGTTAAGATTCTGGCACCTTTCTAACTTTTGGTCTATTTAAGCTTAATAATTCTTTGCAGGGATAAAATTAATTTAGCACTTGAAAACAAATTTAGAGAATCAGAAAAGCTAATACAAAACACGTAGGCCAGCTCCAATTTCTGGTAGGTAGGAAACTGAAAACCAGAGGGAAAACCAAAATGATTGTTCTCTGGAATCATAATTTCTAATAAATGAAGTGTGTATCAACAGGAGAAGCAAAAAGTCATCTGGTGTTTCTGGATTACTTTTTGCTCTACTCACATTCTTATCATTGTCTGGATTTTAAGAAGGAAGTTATAGGTTTGAACAGGTCTAAATGCTCACCTTCTAGATCTTCCTTTTTCAAAACACATTTAGTTTCACTCCAATGATCAAGATGCCCTTCATGCATTGGGATTTAGACAGCCTTCTTTCCTGATCTGGCTTTTGTGTAGGTATTTTAAAGATACTATTAGTTTCCAGTTAAGTCCTTTCTAAGGTAGGCATTCCATTACCTTGAGAAGCCATTATGTGAAAAGCTGTTCATCCCCCTCAACAAATGTACAATCAGAATTGAAACCAGACACAAGATCATTATATCACTTCTACCAGCAAAATATTCAAAGACAGAGCCCCTTCATGCATAATTCACAAATTTTAGCATGATGTTCATCATTATGTCCTCAAAATGTTTTCCAGCTCTAGAGGAAAAAAATATTCTAATTTACTGATTAAACTTTTTTTTTTCTTTTTAAAGACAAGGTGTTGATTAATTGCTTAGGGCCTTGCTAAATATCTGAGGCTGGCCTTGAATTTATGATCTTCTTACCTCAGCTTCCCAAATTGCTGAGATTATATGTGTGTGTCTCCACACTCAGCTAATTTACTGAATAAAATTTAATATAAAAACTTTAAAAATATTTGAACAGTAACAATCACTATATCTATAAAAGGAGAAAGCATAGATACTATAAATTTGTCAAGTAAAATTTAGTTAATTAGGGTAGTTTGATAACAAATATTCTTATTAAAGATAATAATAATTTGAGACCCTAAAAAACTTAAGGAGCATTTGTTTTGAATAATTTTTATGCTAGGTTAAGTACAATGAATATAAAAATATTTTATTTGAATGAGACATGATTTGAAAATAAGTTTATGGGAAAAATAAATTACTCAGCCATTTAAAAGGATTTTGTGTCTTTAAAGTTTAGAAACTATTATTTAGTAAATGTATGCTTCAGTTTGCTACAAAAAGGTATGTAGTAATTGAATTCACTGTATTTCAGTTATTTATTTATTTGTTTATTTATTTGTGGTGCTAGAGACTGAACCCCGGGTTGCTCTATCTCTGAACCCCATCCACAACCCTTTGTACTTTTGATTTTGAGAAGGGTCTTGCTTAGTTGCCCTGAGTGACCTTGAACTTGTGATCTTTCTGCCTAAATCTGAGAATGGAGGCATGAGCCACCATGCCTAGCTCAGTTATTTATTTTAAGAAACAAGTTCTGCTCTTTCACCATCTTTAGAATGGTTTTGTCCTAAATCCAAAATTAGCCATTTGTATGCTTTGTTAATAAATACGATGGAAAGAAGGGGGAAGCATGGGTCATATTTCTATAAGATAAACCTGTAAAGTTTGGTTACAGTTTGGGTTTTATTTTTTCTTGGAGAAAAATATTTTTTTTAATATTTCCTTAGTTTAGGTACCAGAAGTTCACTGAGTACTATTCTTACTTTCCCCAAGGCTCAGACACAGGAAGACAAAGATTGCATCTAATTTTGTAGTGACGCTGTAGCCCCAAGTGATAGCATTAACAAAAGTGTCTTGAGGCAACGCAGGTTTCACAGTGCAGTTGTTGGTAATGCTTTTAAAAACATTTATCAGTGTTTTACTTGTGCTTAAACCAAGTTTTACAGCTGTAACAACAACTGGCTTGCTTGGTTCCTCATAATTGTCAGTCTCTCAAACTTTGAAAAAAAAAAGATTATGGAATGCCATTTAAAACTCTTATTTCTATAGAGAAATGATAATATTCTTGCATATTATGTCTGTAGAGTTTATTTAAATGGGAACAATGCAGCTAGGGATTATATTTATTGGTTACGTTTAGTTTATTTTTATTTTCATTTACATTACATTTATAACCAGGGTTGACCTTCTTGCAGAGAATATTGGCTCGCATTTTGGTGCTTATTCTTACCATGTGGTAAAAACTGTGTTCCTTGTTCTTAAACATTGAATTGTGTTGCAGGTAAACTTATTTCACATTATTATAAAGTTTAAAAACATGACTGTTAAGATATGTTCAGAAACCTTTATTTCTAATATCTATACCTGGAAATTTTGGTTTGGGTTTTATAAAGGAAAAGAATCTCTCTAATCACAAATGTGTTTTTTTTAAATTATTTCTTCATTATTAGTTCTCTTTGCAAATGAAGAATGACATATTTTGATAGGGATATTTAATTATGTAATTTAGAAGACATTGCTGTTTAAAAGATTTAGGAAAACTCACTCTGGGGACTGGGGTTGTAGCTCAGTGGCTGAGTGCTTGCCTAGTATGCATAAGGCACTGGGTTCAATCCTCAGCACCGCATAAAAAAATAATTCACTATGTGTCTAATTCAGTTTCAAACTTAGCTTTCCTTAAGGATCATGCAAAGCAGTTTTTTTTAATTAGAGCATTATTGTTATACATAAAAAGCAATATTCTTGCTTATTTTGGATTATATATGTTGGAGAGTCTATGAAATGCTTATGAAAATATCTTATTGATTTATTATCCTACATTGAATATCACCAATTATTAAGTTTATGTTATGCCTGGCACAGAATAATAGCACAGTTCTTTGATATAGCTTGTATTTAATAAGTAATTTGATCTTAGATAATTACATTGAATTTTAAGGAAAATTTATTTGAACCCTGACCTTCAAGCTTTCCATTGTAGACTGTGGCTCTCTAAGTCATCTGCTAAGCAGTGATACAGTCAACATATGGCTATTTGTATCCTAGTTAAGCTGTTTTCTCCTGAGAAAGAGAAATTCCCTTCAGAATAGGCAGACATCTGCTGGCCTTCTATGTAGCAAAACCATAGAAGAACTGTATTTCCTGGGGAAAAAAAAATCATTTTTGTTAATTAATCAAAGATTGTAGTTCTAGAATTTATTTACTGCAGTGCTCTTTTTTTTTTTTTTAGATCCTCAGTACTTTGAAGTAAAATGTTGTCTTTTGAAGGAATATTCTCTATTGCTTTCAACACATGATGACCTTTTTGTTATAAAATGATGGTTCTCAAAGTGTTTTAGAATTTGTATTGTCCAATTTTCCTCACTTAGGTAAAAAAAGAAAGTGAAATGAATATGTATGGTGAATACACACATTTACCTGGGTACAATACAATGTATTTTCAAAATCTAGTCCAGGGTAGATGGAAACTTTCCTCCTGGGAATGAAATGGTTCAGATGAGA